GGGGTAGAAAAATAGGCTTGTGAGTGATGGGGGTGCGGGTAAGGGTTTGGCCGCGGGCCTAGAAGACCCGGGTTAGGGTTTGGGTAGGTGAACTATCCAGAGGGCTGCCCGATGGTGTTCCGTGCATTTGATCCGGAGCTGCGGCCGCGACCACGAACCCGAGAGGAACCTCCACGATGCCGGGAATACTGCTGCTGCTGCCCGAAGCCTCCCCCGCCGCTGGATTCCGACCGACTGCCACCAGCGCTGCCTTGTCGCCGTGGACCTCCACTGCCTGCATATAACGCCGTGCCGCCGTCCCCCGTGTTGCTGCCGACGCCCAGTTCAGCCCGTTGTTGTTCAATTAAGAGGAGGGCCGAACGTGTTTGAAGAAAGGTCGGGGGCGGCGTTTGGTATTGAAGGAACGACGTTTGTCCACGAAGATGATCCGGGAGGCCACGCAAGACTTGAAGAACAAGTTGTTGTTCGGAGACGGGGGCATCGACATCATCTAACCAATCCGCGAGATTCCGTAGGGTTTGACAATAAGCGGCAATATAGAGAGAACCCTTCGTGGTGGTGCGGAATTGGTGTTCGAGTTGCATCGCCCGGGCCGACTTGTTGTCATGGAAGATGTTATAGATGGCTTTCCAAAGCTCGGATGCGGAGTTGGTTGTAGAGAGTACAAGATCACAAATTTCATCATTGACGGTGGAGAGGATCCAACCTTGTATGAGGGCGTCAAGTTGGAACCATTTCGAGTCATCGGCGCTGGAAGGGGACGACTTTCCGGTGAGGAAATCACCAAGAGAGAACCTGCGAATTAGAAGGAGGAAGAGCCGGCTCCACTTTTTGTAATTGGGCTCGGAGAAGCTTAGGAGAATCGGCACATGGAGCTTCACGTTTGAGATCGTTGTGAACATCAAGTGCGGAGTTGAAGAAGATGTCGTTGAGTCGGTGACGGGAGACTTCTCAGACATGGTGACCGATGGAGGAGTTGCTCGCCGGGGGGGAGAGAACGCCGGAGAGAGAGAGACCGCCGAGGGAGATCGCTGGAGAGAGAGCCGCTGAGCACTGCCGAAGGAGGAGGATTAGACGGCGGCGGTTGCTGGAAGGGGACAGACGGCGGCGGTTGCTGGACGATCGAGAGAGAGAGAGAGACGGTGATGGCGCGGCTAGGGTTTTGCCTGCGCTAGGTCGAACGAGAGACGAAGAGCAACGAGAGGCTCTGATACCATGAAGAATAGTTATTTTCTATTAATGAATAACGAGGGAGAAGCAACGTATAAATAGTTACAGAGGATTCCTAATTACGGAAGGAAACCTATACATGTAAACTACCATAATTACAATAATCACATAATTAATATTAAATATATACTTAACATATTTAACACCCTTTCTTTTCCCTTTTCATTTTCTTTTTCCACAGCTCTTTTTATGAAAATTACATAAACAAAATGTATAAAATAAATATTTCATTAATTATTTATTTTAAATAGAATGACAATAGTGCCATAAAAAAGCCATTGATGCATTTAAAAAACGGCAAATTCTTCCGTGGACATAAAGTCCATGCTCATTTTAAAGGATCTTAGTGTATTTGTAGCATAAAAGAATATGACCTTTGCAAAAAGAAAATAATAATATCCAAATGTAAGCCCATGAAAAATGAGTGAAGGTCCACATTTTAAATGTGAACCTTGAGACCATGTATGCATCAAATACATAGTGAGACACAATGTATTTTTTTATAAATCAAAGTCAAAGTTTATAAATTTTGATTAAGAAAATCGAAATGAGAAGTCGATAAGGATAAGAACATATTCTCTTCAATTTATTCTTATTACAGAGTATTTATTTTTTTTTGGAATCAATTCAAATTAGACAAGATCATACCGCATCAGAAACAATTTTAAATATAACTACATTTAGATACATAAATTTAGATCCAAAATTATTCCAATCAAATCAAAATAATTCAAAATCCTTGAAAAGGATTAACCTTCTACAAATACAAATATGATCCATTACGTTCGGACACAGCTTCCGCTCATGTTCCTTTCTACGGAGTATCTATATATCTCCCCATAGTCCTTGTTCTCATAATTTCATTTCTTTTTTGGCAAAATCCCAATATGAATATCACCCATTTTCACCCTCCTCATCTACTCGAGCTGATTTCTCAAACTAATCCGGAATACTTCCGGTATACCGACCCAAAAAGCGAAGCTAAATTGTTCCCAGGCGGTGCTTCCTCCGCCGCCACAGGAGGAAGCGCCGCCGCCGGATTCTGCGCCAGGAGCCATTGGAAGCCCCACGAGGACGCGAAGCTCAAAAAGCTCGTCGCCGTCCACGGGCCCCACAATTGGAATTTCATCGCCCAGCATCTTCACGGAAGATCTGGTAACTATTATTTTTCGAGAATATAAAAACCTTTCTTGGGTCTGAATGACTGTAAGTAGTTTTTGGTTGAGTTGGTTTGTTTAATGGCGTTCTGGTTGAACAGGGAAGAGCTGCAGGTTGCGGTGGTTCAACCAGTTGGACCCGAAGCTGAACAAGGCGGCGTTCACGGAGGAGGAGGAGGAAATGCTGGTGGAGGCGCACAGAGTGTACGGCAACAAATGGGCCATGATCGCCCGCCTCTTCCCCGGCCGGACGGACAACGCCGTCAAAAACCACTGGCACGTCCTCACCGCCCGGGACCACCGCCGCCAGCCGCCTCCGCCGGTCACCGCAGTTTCCGGCGACAGCACCACCAGCAGCCCTAGCGGCTGCAAGAGGCGGAAGCAAGGAAACGCCGGCGGCGGGGACTACCCCGAAAACCCCACCCCCGCCGCGGCGAATGATTCCTCCGCCGCGTATGCCGCCGCCGGCCCGGTGGAGGAAGCCCGGTCGACGTGCACTCATCTCATCTCCCTCTCCCCTTCATTTGGTCATAATCCGCCACCGCCGCCGGACGACTTTCAACTCCTCCCGTCCGTTACAGGTATTCACTCTTCCACAATCTATATATAAATTCTTTCTTTAAGCCTCTCATTAAAAAAAAATAACCAAAATAATACTGAAACATAATGATTTTTAAATTAGTAAGAATCTCATCGTATATTAAAGAATCAATTTAACCAAAACCTCAAACTCGGGATTGTAATTAAGTTTGAATAATGTTTTTTCCCTCTAATACTCCCAAGTAAACTTGCATTGTTTTTGTTGCAGGGTCATCATCAAGAAGAATGGCGGTGGCGGAGGGCGGAGGAGGGGGCGGCCGATCAGAGTCGTCAAACTCGGAGGTATCTGCATCATCAGAGTCAGTGGCAAACAGTAACAAGACATTATCAGATCAAACCAATAACAAAATCCAGTTCTATGATTTCCTAGGACTGGGAGCCACTTAAATTATTGTTATTGGTATTATTATTATTAAATGACACGCCCATTTGTTACAAATATTTGTCTGTCTTGTTAATTGGTTGACCAAATGGACAGAGAGAGAGAGAAGAGGAAGAAGAGTGTATATAGAAACAAATACCTCTATGGGATGTTTTTTGTTGGTTTTTAATCTTTAGTTGTGGATTTTTTTTTTGTATGTAATAATTCATTATTTAAGCTTTTTTTAGAATAATTAAGGGTTTATTGTTGAAAAAAAATCTCATGATGGAAATTTGAATTAAATTTTGTGGTTTAATTAAATTCCTCATCTGTTTTGGGTTTTATGAGTCTTATCTGCTTGTGTAGGTGTTCTACCAAACATGTACTACTAACTAATTAATTAATTTAACTTTAATTATTGCACAAACTTGAAGTATAAAGTTAAAGTAACTAATGTGGGCATGTGTTAATAAATGACACCTTAGCTTTATTAGCCTAAATATTTTAGTCATTATTATTTACTTAAATGCATTATGATTAGATGGATAACAAAGATAGGATGCTTATGGCCCTCCCTTTACTCAATTGGTTCTACCTTCTTTTCAAGATCTGGGCAATCGTCCTCGAGTTTAAGTTTTGTTCTTGTTGAAAATGTGCAACATGTACGTACGGCGTGGGATTGAACTCTAATAAATGCTAATCACTTGGAGTTATTTTTATTTTACATCACTATATATGGGAATAGGAAAATGCTAAAGTCACCAAAACTTCGGTCACAAAATACACAAAATTTCCATTTGTGCACCTCACCAAGTGAATAAAATAATGATAAATAATTAAAAAGTAGACATTTAAATACATAAATAGAAAGTTTGTGTATTTTGTGACCAAAATTTTTGTGACTCTAGCACTTCTCATGGGAATAACATTTCTTTTTAATTAACGTTAGTATTTTATCAAATTATTTAGTACTACAAATTAACATTAAAATATAAAAATGCTAATACTAAAAGATAGATGTTATTCAATTCATTAGAGAGTAGAGTTTTCAAAACATTAACATTTAACACTAAGAAAACTAAAATTAAACAAATTATGATTGCACCGTTTAATTTTTAATACATTTTTTAAAACCATGTCAAATTAAAGTATAGACTTGTTTTAGAGTTGGGACCGCCCAATCCCGCATAAGTATAATATTATCCGTTTTGGGCCAAATCCTCACGGATTTATTTTTGGGCAACTCAAAAAAACCTCATACTAATGGGGTTGAGTATGTGTGTGTGTGTCTATATATATATATATATATATATATATATATATATATATATATATATATATCTATATGTATATATATATATCTATATGTATATATATCTATATATATGTATATACATATATACATATATATATATATATATATATATATATATATATATATATATAGACACACACACACAATAGATGGAGTATATTACAATGACTTTATTTTGACATATTAGTCATTTTAATTAGAAAAGGAAGTTTGTGGTAAAAGTAAAAAAAATGAAAGATGAAGGATTTTAATAAATGAAGGGAGTACTTATGAAAGTGAACTTATTTGTCTATAACTTGTTTTAGACAAAATTAAAAGTTTTCTACCTTGCATAATTAAATGTAGAGTGTAATTATGTGTGAGCATATTTAATTATATTCTATACATATAAATGAGCCGGTCGAGCGAATCTTAAGTTTTGAGAATCAGTCCGATCCATCCCGTTTCGAAAATGAAATTTTAGATTCATTCATATCCCATCCCAAACCGTACCATTTGGTTCTCACTCATAGTCTGGGATCAGATCCGTTTGCCTACCCCTAATTTAACAAGATTTATTCCCCATAAAAAAGATTATGGTTGTTATGGGTTTATTTTTTTATTTTTATTTTTTTGCTATGTCCTTATAATTGGGATGACAAATTATTAGTTGTATGATTGCATCTCAAATTCTCATTCTACGTTTGGATCAATTTATTCAACAACTACCAATGTTGAAGACTTTTGGTACCAATTATTCGTTTTAACAACTTTGTCTCTCACTTTAATACTCGTGTTTTAGTGAAATGTGCCAAAATTAAAGTAAAATTAAACTTGGGTGTCTTTTCGCTATGATTTGATCATACAATAAGTCACCCAATTGAATTCCTCCTCGTGACAATAGGACTAAAGTCATTAACTTTTTGGGTAAAATATTTCTCACAATAGCTAAAAATAGAAACATTATATAGGGAGTATATATTTCTTTTCAAATGATATTCTATGTGCAAAATAATGATGGAGGCGAGATATATATTTGACCGAGCTTTTCACGTAAATATAAATACTTTAATTTTTAAAGTTAGGCGGCTAGATTCAAACACTCAGCAAGATTTTAATATCATATCAAGAAACCAACTCAAATAGAAACTCAAACTTGATCGGTCTAGAGAGAATATAAAAATCTTTAATGGGTCACAGCCACAAGCTTGAGCTTTTTGGCTGAGTTGGTTTCTTGACATGGTATTGGAACATTGTTGACCTAGAGGTCACGAGTTCGACACTCAGCGCCACAGCTACAAACTTGAACTTTTGGTTGAATTGCGAGTTTTTGTCAAATAGTGACAGGTTACAGTTTGTCACCGGGCTAAAGGTTTCAAAATAATCTCGACGAAGCTGTAGCAGCGAAAAAACCCTTCGCCACCAATCTCGCCTTATAATGATCCACCGAGCCATTGGGTTTGCATTAGACACGAAAAATCCATTTACAATGAATCGCCGAGTTCTTGGGATAGGGAACCACATCCCAAGTGACATTGTAGTGTAAATTGTAAGGCACACTACTCCTTGTCCATAGCATGCTTCCAAGCATGAATTTTCAAAGCCTTACGAACAGTGGTTGGAACAATAGTTGTTTAACTTTATTTTCAACATATATAGATGGATTATATTGAAAATGAGGAAAAATATTTTTTAAAAAAATTATATATTTAAAAAACTATTTGCTCCTCAGAATTATCTTCCGGGTTTGACTTGGCTCAATTTTAAATAAAGTGAAATGTGGGTGGTTGTTTGTATAGAAAAAAAGGAATTCATGTGAACCAAAAATACTTATTTCCTTAAAAGGAAAAAGGAAGAAAAATTTTGGGACAATTAATCCAAGCAAATAGAAAAGAATGAAGATAATTGTGGGACGAAGAAAGTATATTGAAAGGTCTACATAACAAAATGTGATAATAATATATGGACAACAATAATTAAATTCCGTAAGGAAACAAATAATAATAGTAATAATAATTCTAGTTATGGTAGTATTTACATATTAGTTAACTTTTATTTCTATATGGAATCCCACACACCTGTAGGTGGAAACACCTGTCGAATATAGTAGAATGCACATGAGCTTTTACAAGAGTTTTAATGATTCGAAATCGGAACCCTTCCTTTGAAGATTACATAGGTATTTATAGTAAGCTAGATGAGACAAGGCGCCACACACCCACGTCAGACCATGTTCCTGGGAGGCGCGAGGTGATTTCCTCTGTCTCCTAGTGGTTTGTCTTCTAGTTAGGAAGGTGACTTCCTTGTCACGTAGTGTTTTGGACGGATTGCTCGAATATCTCCAATGATGCTTTGTATAATTTGGCCGCTACAGTCCAGCTTCCTTTAGATTCTTCCTTGCCGACACTTCCCGACCTTAGAAATCATACCAGGTAGATTCCCAAGGGATGAGTTTATTAAAATTGGGGACAAATGATGGAGTAAAGTATTTTGACCGGTAGACTATCCGAAGTGTACCGGTCAACTTTTTGGTCAATAGAATACCCTCTTATTGTTGTTTTAGGCTTCTCATCCCAAAAAATCAATCTTGACCGGTCAATTATTTGAAAGCCTACCTTTGACCGGTTCTGGGTGGAATACACCCATCAATAAGCCCTCCACTTCTCGGCCATGTGAAATATCATGGGCAGGAAGTAAAAATCTGGGTAATGGACCCGAAATTTGAATTTCAGACCTTTCCCGCCTAAAAGTTTTCAAAATTCTAATTTGAAAAGTCTGGTTTTTGACACATGTCGCGCGCCAGCCTTTGTGATGATTCGCTATCACCCTGCCCGTTCGTCTTCCCATGCGTCATCATGGCGCCCCCTGACGCTGCGCAACCGTAAGAGGCCAAGTCGCCTCCTTTTTTTAATTTTTGCTCGCCTATATAAAGGCCTCCAATCCTTCATTCCTTCACTATTAAATATATTGTGTATATTTAATATTATTATATTTGGTAGTCTTCCCTTGTATAGGATTATTGCATTTATGTACTACCATAATTAAGAGTCTTGTATGATGTATATATACGAGGCTTGACCTCCGAGGTTAATCATAGAAAATAACTATTCTTCATGGTATCAGAGCCTATTCTCGGAGCCTAGTCTCATAACCTCCGTTCCCAAAACCCTAACCCTAGCGCCGCCTCCTTCTTCCCGGCGCCTCCCCTCTCTCCTGCGCCCTAACGCCGCAGCCCACTGCTCGGCTTCTCCTCCCCTCACCGGCGACAGTCACCAAGCAGCAGCGCCACCAGTGCCGCAGCAGCTCTTCCCAGCGGATCTCCTCTGTCCCGCAGCAGCAGCCTCCCACCATGGCCGACAAGCCCTCCTCCGACAAGACTTCTTCCTCCGCTTCAGCCCCTCATTTGGCATTCACCACCATCTCTAACGTGAAACTTCACGTTCCAATTCTCCTAAGCTTTACGGAGCCGAACTACAAAAAATGGAGCCGGCTATTCCTTCTTTTGGTTCGGCGCTTCTCCCTCGGTGATTTCCTCACCGGGAAATCAACCCCCACCGACGTCGACGACACCGATTGGTACCAACTCGATGCTCTTCTCCAGGGTTGGATACTCTCTACAATCAACGACGAAGTCTCCGATCTTGTCATCTCCTCCACCGATTCGGCATCCGAACTATGGCGTGCTATTCACTCTCTTTTTCATGACAATAAACCGGCCTGGGCCATGCAATTGGAGCATCAATTCTGGATCACGAAGAAAGGCTCGCTCACCATCTCGGCCTTGTCAAACTCTCAAGAACATAGCCGATTGGTTGGACGACGTTGACTCCTCCGTTTCAGAGCAGCAGTTGGTGCTACAGGTTCTCCGGGGGCTGCCCGACGACATGCGGAGCCAAACCTCCTTCCTCCAATTTCAAACTCCGCCCCCGACGTTTCTTCAAACTCGGTAGCCCTGCTCCTCTTGGAGCGTCAAAAATCAGAACTGGACGATGCAGAATCTTCATCCGGCACAGCCCTCTTCTCGGCCGGACATAATAGCGCCATCCCGCAAAGTCCCGCGGGTGGGGGACGTGGCTCTTACGGTGGCAGCAGCGGTCGAGGACACCCGGGCAGCAGCGGCGGTCGCGGAAGGGGCGGGCAGCGCAACCGTGGTCGAGGACGAAGCCCCGGGTCGAATTCACGCACCACCCACGGACAGCAACCCTGGTAGCCACCAAACCCTAACCCCTACCCTGGCCTTCTTGGACCCAGGCCAGCGCACCCCCCTACCCTG